ATATATCTTTATTGATTTCAGAGAGAGGAAAGGAGAGGGAGAGAGAAACATCAATGATGAGAGAGTCATTGATCAAGCCTGCAAGCCAGGCATGTGCCCTGACAGGGAATAGAACTCCAATTGCCTGGATCCTAGGTCAATGCTCAACTTGGCTGGGCGGGCTAGCTTTTATTAAGGTCCATATGAAAAGAACCAAATGTGAAATTTTTATTTTATTTTAAATTCTGCCTACAGAAGTCTGCCAGATTAGCTAGCTGGTGAGTCCAATTCTCAAGAGCACAAAGCAGATATAACTCTCCTCCACATCACTTAGCAATCTCCTGGCATTTTCCATATTAAAATAACGAAATAATACTGCAAGAAGCTACTGTTTAAAATAGTGTACTCTTGCCCTGTCTAGGGAGCTCAGTTGGTTACAGCATCGTCCCAACAGGCAAAGGTTGTGGGTTCGATCCCTGGTCAGGGCACATATAAGAAGTAACCAATGAATGCATAAATAAGTAGAACAACAAATTGATGTTTCTCTCTCCCTAAAATCAATAAATAAAACTTAAAAAAAAAAAAAAAGTGTATTCTTGATGTCTAAGGGAAACATCTGAGCCAGTACTTTTTCCTCAGATTCTAGCCTTCTTGATAGACAATTTTTTTAAGGAATAGAAATGAAAGCTTAAATTCTTCCAAGATCACTCATGCACCAATTAGTTTGCCATGACATCAAAAACAAACATACGTGTCTTGTCATTATTATCACAAATATTGTTGACAACTGGATAATTCAGACAAAACTTCTAATATCCTCTTCTAAAACATAAACAGGAACTCTTAGGGGGTTTCAAATACTTTAACAGAAATTAAAAATCAAACATATCTTGCCAAAAGTATCTATACAGTCCAAGAAACCAAAGAGGAATTAGAACTGTTTAAGAAAAGATTACAGGAATATCCAATACATTTCCTCCTAAACAGAAATTCAATTCCAATTATTTTTCATGTCCCACAAATGTCTTCTTCCTGTATTATTATCACTACCCTAACAGAGACCCTTACCATATGTCTGGGGGGGAGCAACTATAATTTCTAGTCTCCCTTATTCCAAATACTACTGCTTTCATCCATTTGCTCTTCTTAAGAACTACAGAAACAGTTCAATTTATTGCACATTTACTAGATGCATCTAGCTCTGTCAAGTAATATGTATATATATGTACATGTGCATATATATTATATACACACACATTTTATTATTTTATCATAATAACTCTATGAAATAGAAATTTCCCCTATTTTTACAGATGAAGAAACTGATGTCCAAAGAGGTTGTACTATCTACCCTAGGTCAAATAGCTGCACATAGCTGGTAAGTGGAAAACTCAGTCAGTATTAGAACTTGAGTTTTCTCAAATCAATTTCTTTCTCCCTTCCTCTCTCTAAAATAAAATAAAAAAAGAAAAAGATTTACTCTCTAAAAAAAAAAGAACTTGAATTTTCTGGCTCCAAATCTAATATTCCTATCCAGTAAGCTATATCATGGCTTCCTGGTGCCTATGTCATACAGCTAAGTTTCCACTCTGTGGCTGTTACATGTCCTATAACCTGGCACTAGCCTATGTTATCAAACTTAACTCCCTACCTTTCCTCAGCATGTTTTCCCCACACCAGACAGGCTGTTCTGCTTGTTCATTGTCTGTGTATCATGTTCATCCATTTCTACTTTCTTGCCATGACTTTTAATGTTATAACCATTCCATTTAAATCCTACCCATTCTCCAAGGCCCAGCTCAAATTCCACCTCCCTTGTGGAGCCTTCTTTAATGCTGTCAGCAATGATTCCTCTTTTGAACCACTACTATACAATTTAGTACTTAATTGTTCTGTTGTCCAATGTAATTTGTTTTCCTAAGTTAGACTGTAACTCAGAGCTAGTATTATATTTGCATTTGTATCTTCTCCCTCCCCAACGCTGCACAGAAGGCATACATGGTAAAGTCTTCAATAAATACTTGTGCCAGTAAACTTCATAGCAAAAGAATGGTCCAAATAACTTAAATGAACCAAGTTCTCAAAACAGCCACCAAAGCTGAAATCATTAATAACTTTAATTCATTTTCAAGATAAAACAAGTACCTTTAACCAAGTTCTCACTCTGCCACTACTAAGTACTTATTGTGCTTCAACAGTATCATGGAAAAATTGATAGGAGGGGCTTCAAAAGGGCTAGTAATGTTTCTTGATTTGGGAACTAGTTACATAGGTATGTTCAATTTGTGAAAATTCATTGAGCTCTCTACTTACGTACACTTTTCTGTACGTATATTTTATCTCAATAAAAAGTTTTAAAATATCAGCCCTGGCTGGTGTGGCTTGGTTGGAGCATCGACCCATGCTCCGAAGGGTCGAGGGTTCGATTCCTGGTTAGGGCACATACCCAGGTTGTGGGTTCAATCCCTGGTCTGAGCACCTGCAAGAGGCAACTGACTGATGTTTCTCTCTCACATCAATGTTTCTCTCTCCCTCCCTCTCACTTCCTCCCTCCCTCAAAAAAATCATTATAAACATATCCTCGGGTAAGGATTTGAAAAAAAAAGTTTTAAAATATCAAATTTCAGATTGTTTTATAAAATAATCACATCCACCCTGGCAGAATGGCTCAGTTGGTTGGAGCATCATAAGTACAGCAGAAGGTTGTGGGTTCGATCCCCAGTTGGTGAGCTTACAAAAGGGAAACAATGGATTTTTCTCTCTCACATCAATGTTTCTCTCTCTCTAGAGATCAATGAAAACATATCCTCAGGTGAGGATTTAAAATAGTAATAATCACATCCATTTTTAAGCACATATGAATGTATATGTCTATAGGATCCAAGAAAATATCTGGATGTATATACACCAATCTGTCAACAGTCATTACTGAAAGAAAGGTGGGAGAAGTAAAGGAGAGAATTTTTTAAAAATATATTTTTATTGATTTCAGAGAGAGGAAGGAAGAGGGAGAGATAGAAACAATGATGAGAGAGTCATTGATCAGCTGCCTCCTGCAAGCCCCCCACTGGGGATCAAGCCTGAAACCTAGGCATGTGCCCTGACTGGTAACTGAACCGAGATCTCCTAGATCACAGGTTGATGTTCAACAGCTGAGCCACGCTGGCTGGGC